AAAGAGTCACTTGTACCCTTGTGAGATAAACCACAGAAGTGATCCCTCCAATCCTCCTCCCTCCACTCCCATTCCCTCCTCCTCTCTCCCTCCCCTTCCCTGTATTCTTAGGCTGTTATTAGGTTATAGCTTTCATATAAAAGGTATAAATTAATTTCATAATAGGGGTGTGTACATTGGATACTTTTTCTTCCATTCTTGTGATACTTTGCTAAGAACATTTTCCAGCTCCATCCATGTGAACATGAAGGACGTAAAGTCTCCATCTTGCTTTATGGCTGCATAGTATTCCATAGTTTATTTCTTTTTGGTATGTAAGTATAGAGGTGGACAGCCCAGGACTGGCAGCTCTTACCCAGGATCCAATTGCTTCCAGCATTCTGATCTGCCACCTCTAGAGTATAGCCAAAAATCACACATAATATAATCATGGTCTGAAAAGGTGCTCTGGGTGACAAAGCTGTATTCCAACCAGCAGAAAGGATAGAGAGCCTACCCAGCTATCTCTTAAGAAAAGTTGTTTCCAGGAACTGGGGCTGCTTCAGTCTCATTAGCTAGAACCTACTTACATGTCCACGAGAGAGACCAGGAAGGTAGTCTTGATTTTAGATCTTCATGGGCCCAGCTAAGACTTTTGGAAGGTGTTAGGCTTAGGAGACTACTCATAGTCTGTTTACTCAACTGGAAAAAAATTGACAGAGGCAGTAAAAAGAATTACCATTAGGCCAAAAAGCTTGTGGAAAGCTGCTGACTTTCCTACCTAGCACAATCGGTGACACTGGGTAGAAATGAAAATGTCATCTGCTAAATTGGCAGGTATTTATTCAGATTGGTTGGGCATCTCATACACTCTTTGTTTTTTATTTGTTGTTTTTGAGACAAGGTTGTACTTTGTTCCCCAGGCTGGAGTCCAGTGGCACAATCATAACTTGTTGCAGCCTTGAACTGCTGGGCTCAAGTCATTCACCTGCCTTAGCCTCCCAAGTAGCTGGGATCATAGGCATGTGCCACCATGCCTGGCTAATTTTTTTAACTTTGTTGGTAGAGATGGGGGGTCTTGTTATATTGCCCAGACAATCTTGAACTCCTGACCTGAAGTGATCCTCCTGCCTCAACCATCCAAATTGCTGTGATTATGGCCATGAACCACCAAACCCACCATCATAAGACTATTGATGGGAGTGTAATTGAGCATAACGAGCATTTAGGGTATACAAATCAAAAATTTTAATGTGTATACCCTTGAGCTAATAGTTTCACATAACTAGAAAAGGTTACCCTAAGGAAACAACTGGACAAGTTCACAAGATTCTATGTATAAAACAATTCACTAAATGATTTAAACTAGTACAAATTTAGAAATCACATTTAAATATCAAAAAAAGATTTGTCAAGCTCAGCACCTGTGGCTCAAGCAGCTAAGGCGCCAGCCACATACACCTGAGCTGGCGGGTTTGAACCCAGCCCGGGCCTGCCAAACAACTATGGCAGCTGAAGCCAAAAAATACCCCAGTGTTGTGGCAGGCACCTGTGGTCCCAGCTACTTGGGAGGTGGAGGCAGGAGAATAACTTGAGCCCAGGATTTGGAGGTTGCTATGAACTGTGATGCCA